CAACAGTAAAAGGACATGGCATTGTAAGGATTTCTAAAGAATACATTTTGAGTAAGGGTTGTCTAGGGTCATTTAACTTATTGTAAGTACCATAATATAATCTATTACAGAATTTGTTAAATTTTCCTTACCTTCAGTATTGCTTATTTGTAATTGTTATTTTGTCGGGGAGAAGTCTTTACACAGGGTTTTATGACTGTTGACCAAAGTCATTTCTTCCTCGAATAGTAATTGTTTAAACCCCATATAACTGAAAACATCGGCTATCCGACGATATGTAATTTCAGCAAAATCCCGTGACCACATGATTGTACATATCTTTACAGTCACATCAGGTTGTCATTGATGCCTATCATTTATACATATTCACTTTTGATGGAAACAATCAACTCAGTTTTAAATTCGAAAAAAGCTCTTGTGTTTCGGTGAGATCAGGAACTTGGGGAAAATGTAAGCCATTTTAGAGCTTTTACATTGCAGAGAGTGAGTGAGTGAATGAGTGAGTGAGTGAGTAAGGTTTTACGCCGCTTTAGCAATATTTCAGCAATATCACAGCGGGGACACCAGGAATGGGCTTTGCACATTGTACCCATGCCCCAACAGCCACTATGATTTTCATATAGCTTAAGGTATGTTCTTTGTGGAATCACGTGATGGACACCTCCCATTCGATTTTGGCGTCCATTTTCTAGAACCCGACCATCTGTCTACAAAAACGCATTTAGCTGGGCATGGGAGGTGTCCATCACGTGATTTCAAAAACTACATACTTTAAGCTGTATGGAAATCATAGTGACTGTTTGTCCCTTAATTTGATAGTCAAATCTCATCTGGCTCATGGACTATAGGTTGGCGCTGCGGTGTTTCCAACAAGCTGTGTCGAGACAATGTTGTCCAAAGTTTGGTAAGTAAAAAGTACTTGCACCAGTTGTTTAATGAATGTAAATTCGAATGTTAAGGGGAATTTTGTAATTAATTGTAACGTTGTTTGCTCTTTAATTTGTAAAAGAACTATATTTTAAAATCCGGAAAATATAATGGGTAAAACCACATGGCTTTCAACTAGACAATTTAAAGGTTGATTGTAAACATTGGTATTTTATTCTTTATGTACGTATGTAGACTTTGTTTCAGTATATTTTATCACTTATTGGGGTATTTCTTTTCTTTGACAACTTGTACCTGTCAACTTAGTCAAAATCAATATACCGGTCAACCTTATCAAAATACTGTGAAATAACTATCAAATGGAATTGGAAGATACTGTGGAAGTCTTTCAGATGAAATAATAAAATAAAGACAGTGAACAAGAAGGTGGTTATGTATTATCTTCTGCACTCCTATATCCCTGATATAATATGTTAATGCACACTTTCAAGGAAAATAAGCTAAACCCATTTACAGTTTCCCAAGAAATTATTAAGAAAATATTTGTTTCCTAATACTGATAATAGAATTTTAAAATAGTCGTTACATTATGTAGTAAGATATTCAATATGGGAGGCAACTCTTGCAGGCTTAAGAAAAAACCTTACTACATCAATAGTTATCTCCCCTGGTGTAACAGGCGGCTTCCTTTGTTGACATGGCAGATTTGACAGCAGAAGAGAAACGAAAGCTGGTTCTAGATGATTTTGACAGGAGTGTGACCAATGCAAAAGTGTTAGCTGGTAGACATAACATGAATATTCAATCAGGAGTTTTGATTGAGCACAAGACGGGGGCAGGGAGGCCAATGAAGTTCAGTACTACGGATCGCCGGCGATTTGGTCAGATTGTCAGTAGGGGAAAATTGAAAAGCGTTGAGAATATCTGAAATGAGATGATTAATAGATGAAGTCCTCAGGTATGGAATGAAACCCTTAGACAAGAATTACAGAGACTTAACTGGGTGAAAAAGCGCGGAATTCCCTCACCATTGATGAAAGATACACACAAAGAATGAAACTGGTGGAGGGCTCACGGAAATCAAGATTTGGATACTGTTTTCTTTTCTGATGAAAGTTCTGTCTGTGTTTTTCCGAACTGTGTGAACATTTGGTCAAAGGATACCATGAAACCTATTTACCGACGCCTAAAACATGGCCCGAAATTTCACATGTGGGGTGAGATATCATCACGTGGAGCGTTGAGTATTTTCACTGGAAATTTGACGGAACGATATATTGACATCCTAAATGATCACCTCCTTCCAACGGCCATATCACTGTATGAAGATAATTGGATTTTAGGATATTGGGATCCTTGATTTCCTACAAACGTTGATCAGTAGTGAACCTAGGCGCAGGGCAAGGAGGTCTAACTAACTGAAAAGTCACTTAGACTCTAAGAAAATCATGTCTTAACATATTAATTTAAGTGAAACCTCTATAGTTTATATATACTGTATCACAAAAGAAACGTCGCCTTTCAAAACCAAATGCAAAATTTTGTTCTTACAAGGTGGTGTTTTTATTATGATTTTACCGATTTGTTAACATGTTGTTGAATCCAAATTGACTGTTATTACCAACATCGGTGTGTTTTCTGATGAAAAAGCATATCGACCAAACGCACCGAAAAAGGCAGACATGGTAAAAAGTTCCGTATGACATTCGTGAAAATGAAAAAGCATGTGCATGTCGTGACATCCCTACCAATGAGAGCGAGTCCCAAACTCGCCTGAAATCATGTTTGCTTTGACACAGTCACCATGCCACGACTTACGAGAGATCAGAGGAATCAAGTCTTCGGACGATTGCAAGTTGGCCAGACTGCACGAAGGGTCAATCATTTAAATGTTCATGTTAGGACAATCTACTGACTGCAGGAACGGTATCAGGCTACTAACAGCATCCAAGACCGTTCACGCAGTGGACGACCTTCTGTAACATCAAAACGTCAAGACCGACACCATCTGCAGGATCGCTTCCCCAGAGCGACGGAAGCAGCAAGCCAGATCACTGGGACTCACGACAGACCCATCAGTGCCGATACAGTGTGTTGAAATTAGCGCAGAAGAAACCTCTGCTTCCACAGACCATATCGTAGTCCTGTTCTCACAGCTCATCATCGCCAAAACCGACTGCAATGGGCAACTCAGCATCGAAATTGGCGTTATCGACTGTGCTTTTATCTCATGAAAGCCGATATTGTGCTTCGACAGTCGATGGCAGAGTGAGAGCATGGTGAAAGCTCGCTATATTGACAAAGTACCACTTTTTGGACATTACAGAAATCTCATCTCCCAGCAAGACAACGCTCGTGCCCACCCTGCCAGAGCAACATTGGACTTCCTAAGACAACATGGCATCCAAACCCTACAATAGCCTGCACTCAGTCCGGATTTAAGTCCAATAGAACACCTCGTTGGGACGAGAATCAAAGAAAACTGAATGACCTCCAACCAAGCCGGACAACTGCGGCTGGACTCGATCAGGCATTTCGCAGAGTATGGACCCAAGTGCCTATGGCCTTCATCAACCGGTTAATTCATTCCATGTACAGACTATGCAATGCTTTCATCGATGCCCATGGAGGCCACACACAATACTGACTTTGCGGGATCTTAATGGTACCATTTTTGGTGATTTTATTTTTGTGTGAACTCTAAATGTGATTCCCGAAAATGTGTTAACCATAATTGTCAAGTTTGAACTCAGTCCTCCGTTTTGATTGTTAATGAGAGTGAATTAATGTGTGTGCTTTAAGAAACCGCTATCGGTGCGACTTTTCTTTTGTGGTTCAGTATATATACATGTATGAGATATTTGCCGAATCAACTTTCTCAATAATTTTTGGGAATACTATACTTGGACGTCAAAGGCAAATTATCAAAGGAAATTAGTTGGAAGAATCACTGGAAATCATTGATGAGACCAGATGAACGACCAGGAAATGTTGTTCTGTCATCATCACAGGAGCTGAAGTTGTGGGCGGGTTATCAATGCATCAGCTGAGGGGAGATATATGTGTTTCCTGCCAGACAGGAAGCGTCCTGATGCTGGTGCTGGTGTTGGAGTGGGGATGACAATAGTTTTACTTCTTTAAGTGGCATATAGAAGCTGGTATGATGAAGAGGAACACTTTTTTATAGCCAACTTCTTTATTGCAAATAATTCTATAACTTGTTTGATGTTAGTATTTACACCGAAAGGTCACATCTAATTGCAATAAAGAAGCTGTCTATCCATAAAAATTGTTCCTCTCGACATTGGTGTTGTCTCGATAACAAACTTAAATGATTCACATAAAAAATCATACAAATTGCTAAACTGACAATGATCTCGCAACAAATTATGACATTTATGTTAGACAGTAGGGGATGGTGCCTGTCCGAAGATGGCAGAAAGGTGTGGGTGTGGCAAACCTGATCAACGTGGTCATGTCAAGAAGATATTTACACGAGTAATACAACCTTTTGGGTGATCAGGATGTAGGTCAGGTGATGTTATTATATTACATAGAGCTATGAGGTATAGACGCCTGTCTAAAATGTAGTGATGTCACAGAAATTAAAAACGGTGAAGTGTACTGCATGATGCTGAAATTGTCAGAGTGGTGTACTTACGTGTCCTTCATATTTGACCCATGAAGACCCCGGTTAGAATTTGTCTTCTACCCATGCTTGTCGTAAGAAGCGACTGACAAGTTCCGGTGGTCAGGCTCGCTGACTTGGTTGACACATGTCATCGTATCCTAATTGCGTAGATCGATGTTCATGCTTTTGATCATTGGATTGTCTGGTCAGGACTCGATTGTTTACAGACCGCCATCTTATAGCTGGAATGGTGCTGATTGCCGCGTTAAACAACAACCAACCAACCAAGTACAAGACGTTTCTGGGACAACAAAACCTGGACGGCAGTTGTGACAATGATGACTCTTCAAAATGACGGGGATTGTGTTGGTTTGAAAACGGTACTCTCTGGGTTTTCAGTTTCAAAAGGTATATGTCAAGACTCCTCATAGTTATCAGAACATTAGATAAAGATACAAATGAGACTTAGTGTCGATGTTTTAAAGTAGACGTGTATATTTCGCCATTTTGAATCAAAGGATCAAGGCCTTGCAGAAGGACTGTGTGAAGAGAAACAGCCACGATTGGGGTGTACTACAAAGCCGTGCCTCTCAGACATATCTGACTTGGATCCATGATCCAACTGTCAGTATGAAGGCTGGTCCATCCACCAAGTACACCAACCACTCCCTGCGTGCTACAACAGTATAAGTTCTTGATAGTGCACAGGTCCCATCTCGACACATCATGATGCTCACCGGTCACAAGCTCATGCTCACCGGTCAAGCATGGAAACCTACCCTGGTTTCACTAATGACACAGATAAGATAAGGTCATCAGCGACAGGACATGCTGTTCTGTCACACACTAGTGTAGATGGACGTATACTATATATAGGTGATGATGTTCTTACTGACTTATTTAGGGATGTTGACTTCGATGACATTTCCCAGTGTGTTCAATTCCACTGGCAGCCACCTTTAATGAATTCCATGTGCAAGCATTGTAACAGTTCCATGTTTCATATACCTTAGCCTATTATGAACAATTGTCAGGTTAGCATAAACTACCATTTCCACCAGCAACAGAACAATCTTCATCTTTCGCGGCTTCTAACCTACCATGTTGTTGATTGTCCACAATTCAGCATGTTGAATGTTAAATGATTTGACAGTAACAATGTCATCAAAGTGTTCCCACATAGCGAGAATTATCATTTATAAATGATTTGACAGTAACAATATCATCAATATCATCATATAAATGCACGTCATTTAAATGAAGTGTACATTTCTTTCCTTCGGACTACGTATAGTGTTTCATAATGTGGTTTACAAAAAAAAAAACTTGAAATAAACAAGTGAATAACTGAAGCAATAAATCCACTATGACGCAGAATCGGAATGTGAATGTTAATATGCAGCATTTGTTTGCTGTAAACACAGGTCTTAAAGCATAAAAACTGTTTTATTTTATGGATAACCACTTCTGGTTCCACATATATACATAGCAAGGCTTTGGCGTGACTACATCAAACATACCTTTAGAATTCATGATCAGCACCAAGTCCTTTAGGCCCGCCGGACTATGACATGATTTGTGAAACACGCTGGCAAAACAATGTCATTCGACGCCAGCCTTTTGGTGAGGTCATGCCGTGTGTATTAGCTGAGTAGTCTATCAAAGTAGTCTATCATCTCGTTATACATGGTCAGCGAATACGTCCAGTCATGTTGAGAGTTTCAACTATTTGTTAACTAAATATAGCGTGAGATGGCGAGTTTTATAGTAAGCGCAAGTTTATGAAAGCATGTATATTTTATTTCAGACATATTCTTCTAATGAGATAATTCAGTAAGGTGTTGAAATGAAAGACAGGTGCTTAGGTTATTATGAATTTTGAGTGAGTGAGCGAGTTTAGTTTTACGCCGCTTTTAGCAATATTCCAGCAATATCAAGGCGGGGGACGCCAGAAATGGGCCTCACACATTGTACCCATGTGTGGAATCGATACGCTCTCAAATCGAACCCATGTGGGGAATTGAACTCGGGTCTTCGGCGTGACGAGCGAACACCTTAACCACTGGGCTATCCCACCGCCCTATGCATTTTGAAGGACGGGAATAATTTACTGCGTGAATAAAATTCAACGTACAGCATTTCAAGAGCAATTCGCGATAACGGTGCAGTTTGCTCTAGGTTAGCTTATACTTATAATCAGTCAGTGCATCTATGGACATGGTAAAAAGCTAAAATAGGTAGGAATTCAATTAGGTGCCATATGTTTTGGGTGTCATTTGTTGTGAATTAGAATATGGCTATGTCCTAATCATGCACGATCTGAAGGGATGTATTGATCTTCGTAAATACCCTCGGACAGTCCACTGTACGTCTGATTAGTGTTCTACGAAAGAAACTTTCTTTACACATTCCATATATGGTTCTTGGTTATGATAAATTCATTATTATTATAAATTCTCGGTGCACATATCACCAATGCATTTGACTGGTCCTCAGACTGGTGTGTAAGTAAACTTGACCCCAGACTCCTTCATCTTCTTGTTCCATGTTACATCAAATCTCTCACTTTGTGCCACAGTGAACCAATTCTTCCAGTCCCCGATTTCACCTGAAACAGAAAAAGACTGTACCAAAGCCAGCGTACCGTACACAAGTATACGTTTGTCACCAAAAACAAATATAGGGAAAATATCGTGGAGAAAGTATTATTCTCACAGTATTTAAATCAAACTTTAATTTTTGGTGGGTGGGTGGTTGAGTGAGTGGTTGATTGAGTGAGTGGTTGATTGAGTGGTTGAGTGAGTGAGTGAGTGAGTGCAGAGTTTCCATGATTAAAGTGGGATGTGCTATACCTTTCCTATAGAACGTTCCTCCTTTGCCATCTGCCCACATCTTTACGGGAAATCCACCTTTCATTTCCTGGTCAACTTTTTTCATCTTCTTAAAGGAGCAAGCATCCGCAACGTCTTCACAGAACTTGTCTGTAGATGCAAGGCCAAGGAATCTGGCGACTTCTTTAACAGACGCGACAGGATCCTGGATTCAATTGTGTAAGAGGAATTTGAAATGATTATAAATATTTTTGTCTGTTGAGCTATTGTATAACCCTTGTTTTGTTAATCGCGAACCATTGAGTGAGCGAGTGAGTGAGTTTAGTTTTACGCCGCACTCAGCAATATTCCAGCTATATGGCGGCGGTCTGTAAATAATCGAGTCTGGACCAGACAATCCAGTGGTCAACAGTATGAGCATCGATCTGCGCAATTGGGAACCGATGACATGTGTCAACCAAGTCAGCGAGCCTGACCACCCGATCCCGATCTCTTACGACAAGCATAGTCGCCTTTTGTGGCAAGCATGGGTTGCTGAAGACCTACTCTACCCCGGATCTTCACGGGTCCACGAACCATTAAGAGTGAATGAATGTGTTTTAGTACGATTGATTCATTTTACTAGCTGTACAAAATTAGGCAGCTGAATTCCTTCCCTGAACTTGACGATTTGTCATTCAAACGTCCGTTGTGTTAAGGGGACAGGACGTTGTACAACATGGCGCCACATTGAATGTGTATAATAATAAAACCTAATGAGGGTATTTATAACGTGCAATACTCCACACCACAAAGGGGCATGCTCAAAGAAAGCAGAAACAGCACTACATTGTTACCCCGGATAACCCAAGCTCCCTGTTTTTACAGTCATATGACTTATCCCACCGGGTACCCATTTTTCTGCTGGGTGAACAGAGGCAAATTTGAACAAACTCACTTGCCTAAGGTGAGACCACATGTATCACATTGCTTCCTTGTGAGGCAGGACTGTAGTCCTAAAAACTCTCAGGAGTCAAGCTGCCAAACACGGTCACCCATCCAAGAACTCTCCGCGCTCGACGTTGCTGATTTGTGACCTGAGCTCTATGGACAGGACCACACGCCACCACCACATACAGCTTCCTTCTGTAGCTTGCCTTACAATTATGCTCATGTGTTTGTTCAACAACGCCATTTATACATGCGTGTACATCGTTCCCAATTGCGTAGATCGATGCTCATGCTGTTGATCACTGGATTATCTGGTCCAGACTCGATTATTTACAGACCGCCGCCATATAGCTGGAATATGCAGAGTGCGGCGTAAAACTAAACTCGCTCACTCACTCAATCGAAAAACATGGAGACACCAATACTTACACTTTTCATGTCCTCGTAGTACATATCAAGGGTAGGTAACCCTTGTGCAGCTGCCACCTCGTCTTTCCATGACTGCAGATAGGTGGAGTAGGACCCAAACGGAACTAGGAAGTAAGAAAGGTAAAATTAAAGCAATGAGATATAAGTGAATCCTTTCGAACTATATCTGGAGATGATCGATGCTCGATACTCAAACTTCAATACTTTAACCCAGGTTGTGATAATCGCACTGATAAGATCGTCTGTGTTGTGTACATCTAACTTGTATTTCCGCGAAGTACTGACTATGATCAACCACTCGCTCTACTTACTTTTCTCTGACAAAAACGCCTCTGTAAACTCCACGAAGTCTCCTTCATAATTATACGGTGGATTCGTGTCTCTCAGGTGGTTGAAGAAGGACACACAGGCATCTTTAGGATTCCGCATGATCTGGATGCACTTGATCTTCTTCTCCACGACCTGTTTAGGGAGCATGCGCAGAGGGAGGTGCGTGTTGAAGACACGTGGCTGTGGCATTGCTTCTATTCCATCTTTGGCGAGGAATTCCATCATCCGGGTCTCTTTCACATCCTTTTGATGCTGGAGAGTCCCACTGACTAGCATCTCGATGACTTCCCACAGCCAGTGGGTTCCTAAAACAGTAAAGTCCAGTAAGATACCCACAAAACAAGGTTAACTTTACGAGAATGGATTTGATCTGTTTGAAGTGAGAACATTTTGCCATATTACCTATGAAATCAACGTGGTTCTGACTGCATATCGTGGTTGCAGTACGACCCCACTGAAATGAGGGCGGTCAGAGTGTGGGACAGTTCTGCACCATGACGTGGAGTCTTTGTCTGTGGAATTATACTGTTAAATAACATTCATTCATTGTGACACGTCGTGTACCTACCACATTTGGGATACGCACAGATAATGATGTCATCGTCCTTCAGTTCGGCTTCTTTGATACTGTTTATTCTGTCTACAGGACGAGCTCCCTTCAGCATTTCCGGAGGTAGCACAAACAAATACACCCCATCATGTTTGTAGCAGTGGAATCCGTGTCCTTTCGAGTTTCTCGTATCGTCGAGATCCCTGGAAAACACCGTTCATGATCATCACAGGTATGTGTTGTGCTGGATGACATCCTTATTCGTATCTAACTTTTCCATCCACCCGTCAGTTCACCTGCCGACCACCGAAAGTTCTTACCTGTCAGTCTGTCTGACTCTCATATGGCTATTCGTGATTTCGGAAAGAGACAATGTCTGATCTCCAAAGCGGAAGAATCTTAATATCGAGGCTGTCGATTTGTGAAATGATTGAGTAGAGGACAGTCAAGGCAGGAAGCAATGGTCGTAGTTTCCGCTATATTGTTATAGTGTCTACTATGCTGCTGTGGACGTTATTGGTTGTTATTGGTGGATATTTCTCAAGTTGACAACATAGGTCAGTCTGCGGGTCCACAATGCTTAATTGTGAGCTTTCTACTAGGAGCTTAGTGCTAAGATACAGTTTCTAACTAACTGCCAATGCTGGTTTACGGGGATACAGTTCTAAATAGGTAATATCGCAAGACCACTTCGTCAACAACCCACTTGTCTCTTGTGCACTGGCCATCTTACTCTTGACCCTTACACTGTTATAAGACCACAGCACCAATCTGCAGTCCCATAACATCAAGAGTATGTCGTGCCTCCTACACGCATCACCGCGGCAACGCTCAAACAGTTGAGCAGTGCATGACTGAGAAATGACCTGACCTGTGACTCTTGAGATGTTTGCCAATCGGGGAGGCTGTGAGTGTTATGACCGAGCCGGGTGTCCGCCAGGCGCATACTGCACGTGGCACGCTGTATGCTGCATGTGATATACAGAATATTGCACTTTAAATTGATATACTGTATACTGCATGTGATATACAGTATATTGCACTTGATATACAGTATATTGCACTTGATATACTGTAGACAGCATGTGATATACAGTATATTGCACTTGACCCACTGTACACTGCATGCTATATACAGTATATTGCACTTGATATACTGTAGACTGCATGCGATATACAGCATATTGCATTTTATATATTGTAGACTGCATGTGATATAGAGTATATTGCACTTGATATACTGTATATTGCATACGATATACAGTGTATTACAAATGATATGCTCTATACCGTATTTGATCGTAGGGCTGAAGATGTTGTTGTCGGCAAGGTTACTGCAGATATGTACCACAGGTACGTTACTGTATACTAGTGGTGGTCCGATTAATTGAAATAATCGATCACATTTTCTCATAACCGAACACAAACGATTTTGGAACGGCTGTAATAGAGTTTGAAATACTTGATGAGGGAACATATCTATGACGTTGTCAGGGCCTGAAAACGTGTTTATTTCTAAGAAAACTCACTTCACTTTCTGAAAAGTCATGACTGAATATTTCTTGAAGAATCTGGGAAGTTAATGTTACACTGGAACTGAATCATTTTACACTGGATGTGAAATCTGCAAATGTAATTTGTGCAGTTTCTAAAAACAACAACAGAGAACCAAATGTTTTTTCTTTATAACTATCTGCAACTACAACCTGAATAGGAAAATCTGAAAAATGACGCTAACCAATTGTTTTTCGATGATTGGTCGTTGGTATTGAACCAATCATCAATTGTGAGATTTCAACCAATTCCCAACACTACTGTATACAGAATATACCCTAAACAAAGTCAAACTACAGAAAAGTTCCCGGTACCCCATATTCCGCAACTCAGTTGTTCCCCTTCAACTGTTTGCCAGTGGTATTATGTATCGCGAAATATTCGTTACTGCATATGTTCGTTTCTTATATAACGAAAACAAATACATCTAATACACCAGTATGACAGTTCCGAACAAGAAAACGGACCATTGCGGAATGGACTCGTCCTAGTGTTCGTCTGGAGCTCTTTAAAGGCGAGGTGAAGTGGTGACCAGTTTTGAGAAATAGTACATATGTACTTTCAACACCGCAACAGTTAGCGTCCTTGAGGACGTAGTCACTGCAGTTGAGTTAAAGGTCACAGCGACCCAGCGCTCGGGGTGTCAAGCTAACACACCCACGTAGAGAGGAAACCTTACACTGCTGACACTAGAACACTCTCAGTCATAAACACGCGTGTATTGGAGGAAGAGTGCTCAGAAAAATCCTAAAACATATAATCTTCAGACACTACTTACATTACAAACGTTTCATCAGTTTGACCAGAGGACATGTTGAATGTGGTTCGGTTCAGCAAATATATTTATAACTTATGGGTCAAGTGACGCAGCCAGCTGATAGGCGGCCTGCTTTCTAAGCCACAGATAATGTTTGTAACCTGTCACTAAATAACTCGCTCACATGACAACAAACCAAACCATTAACCTCTGTATTTATGTGCACCAGTACGTAAAACTATGTTTATGAAGAAATACTTCATTCAGAAACTGTGAAACTTCAACCTCAGTCCAGCCAATAGAATCGAGCCCAAACTTTGAAAACTGCACTTGTCAAACCTCTCTTGAAAAACATCTGGTCTAGACTGTGATGCATTACTATCGTTCCGTTTCCAACCTTCCATGCATTTCAAAATTCACTGAGAGAGCAGTGTGCCAACGTCTATCAGAACACTTGTCTCTGCATTATCTTCACGAGCCCTACCAATCTGCGTACCGACCAAATCATAACACTGAGAAAGCCTTGCTCTATGTCATAAATAACTGCTATCTGGAATTGACAAAGGCAATGCAGCCCCCCTGGTTTTACTAGATCTTAGCCAAGCCTTTGACACCATCAACCACAGTAGCCTCTTGTCCCGTCTTCAACTTAAGATCGGTATCGATAGAACGGCGCTTGATGTGGTGTTGCACAAGGTTTAAATTCAGTGCTCGGACCAGTGTTATTTACCCTCTACATTCGACAATTGGGTGAAATCATTGGAAACTATGCTTTTCCGAAGCACTTCTATGCTGACGATACCCAGACCATCAACATCTTCAGACCGGATCCTTCCTCAGCATCAGCAGCTCACACGAAGGTCAATCAGTTTATACTCAGACATCGAACACTGGATGACCGCAAATACACTGAAACTGAACGACGAGAAAACAGAGGCACTCCTAACCGGATCTGTGAGTCGAACACAAAAAACACAGCTTGACAGCATTACAGTTGGAACAACACCGATTCCTCTTGCCAGCTCAGCCAGGAACCTTGGAGTCACACTTGACTCCCAACTAACTATGGAGGCCCACGTCAGCAATATCTCCGGAACTTGCTTTTTCATCCTAGGGATCATCAGCTGTATCAGAAAACACCTTCCTACCAGTGCAACTATAACCCTCATTGTCTCTCTCGTCTACTGACGTCTTGATTACTGTAACAGTTTCATGATTAATGCCCCCAACTTTCTGATCAACAGACTTCAGCATATTGTTTGATCGGCATTCAAAAAGTTGGTGAGTCAAAAATGAAACATACAGCTTTATGGATGACAACTTCTTGTTTATTGCATTAAGCGACGTTTCGATGTAGATTCTTACATCGTTATCAAGCTAAATGTGACTACAACCACATCGTGAGAAGTATATATGCACATGGTATGTTCTGACAAACAGCAGTTTAACATTAACACCAGCATGTAATTGAGTAACAAGTGGTACATACATGGATGAGGCCAGTGGTACATGTCACTGTGATCCAAGCAGGATGAGGATAAGGTTACAGTTTATTCACTGCTCTTCTGACAACTAAGAACAAACAAAGCATGGACAGGCAGGAAGCTAAGGTTACATGGAAAATTCGGAATTGAATTTAAAACCTGATCCAAATGCAGGATGTATGGGGAATTGTTGTTTTTTCGTAGTCAGTACAGCACATGGAGAGGTTGCGGTGATATGTTTTGTGGCTCTTCCAAAATATTTTCTGTACAAGAAGTTGATCATTATACCCCAAACATCCCTTCCTTGCTCCCTTCTGCTCACTATAAAGTATGTCATTAGAAGAGCAGTAAGATGGCACGAGGTTTGTCAAAGACCCTGTGAATGTTTTATACTGAGTATTCAAACATGACATAGGGCGGAAGTTTTCGGGATCAGTCAAGTGTCCTTTTAGGGGAAGGAGTATTGTGCGACCTTTGCAGAACCATGGAGGAACATCTTCTCTGTCCACGAGAGAACTGAAGCAGTGAAGTAATGGCTTTTGGACAGAGGGGATCAGTTTCCAGTACTGGTTTCGACTGCCATCAGGCCCTGGAGCTGTATAAGATTTGGACTTTTTGATAACACTTTTCAGGCAATCTGGTGAGATGTAACAGACAAACAACCCAGTTATTTTCTCATGCATTGCGTGATCGTAATCGCGGACCTATGGTGTCTCAAGGTTACAGTCTTATCGGATTTGCCGAGATCAAACACTACCCTCCTATAGCAGATACTATATCTGAAAACTGTCTAGTATTTTGACAACACCCGATAGGTCTCGCAGATTTCGATATATTGATATTCAATAGAGTGAAGAGCTTTATCGTCTCTTTCAATCTTATCATCTGTCTTCTGACATAAGAAACAGAACCATATCAATAAACTGATTTACAACAACGCGAGCATAATACGGAATAATTTCCCAATAGATTTTAATCCGAATATTTCTTTACTCATGCAGGTATTCGTTGATGCCATGTTGCACTCTGGGAGGAGAGGTAAAAATAGAACATCGCAACACTGACAATCGCGTCGCGGAACACATTATTTATTATTGGATATTTATATAGCGCACATATCCACGCAACTAGTGCATGCTCAAGGCTGGTATTTTTTCCCCGATCATTGGATGTCACGGCACATCGTATTATCAGCCTCAGCACCCTGGGGAGTATACAACTCTTGCTGCCACTAGGCGCACCGAGTTATTGTGGCTTTTCCATCCTAACGATGTACCCATTCACAGATGGGTGGACTGGGACACATAGTCACAGTACTTTGTCCAAATTCACTGCACGTTGCTGTACCCGCAATTAGGTGTTTGCACGTATTCATGTGGCCACCATCTGGTCATATACCAACGGATTCTCGGGTTCTTTTAAGTGCACAGTGTTGTGTACTGTACACTAGGGGTTGTGACAACACGGAAAGAATTTGCACACAAAGGTGGGCTCACAGGTGGGCTCGATCCCTATACCTCAACCTCGCTGGATCACTAGCCTGGCGCCTTAGCCATCTCGCCCACCGCGCCCCATGGATATCTGCATCTGTACAGATGATGCTCCACTAAATCACCATGATGACGGGGACCCTGCTTGTAGAAGAATGTACCAGAAAAAAAGTACTTAAGATTTTGTATTTTTAAAACGGATATATCGAGACGCCTCCTCATTGTTATCAGAAACGGTCCAAAATGTGTCGATATAATAGAACGTTCTCGCTGTTTGTTCTCGCCATTGTGGACCAATGGACGCTACTCGTAGCAGCTTACCTTCAAACGATAGTGTATGATGAATCACACAGTTGTACTCGGGTGGTGTTCGAATCTTTGTGTATATTCGTTTATATTCAAGACCCTAGATGTAAAGGGAAATCATCTGTTTCGCGTCGATTGATGAAGGACTGTGTGAAGTTCTTTCAACAGCCGAGAATGGCGTCTATCTGTGATGTCAACTGTCAGTAGTAAGGCTGGTCCATCCACCAAGTACCCAAACCACTCCCTTTGTGATTCAACAGTACAAGTTCTTCATAGTGCACAGGACCTAGATTTTCGAAGCTCTCTTAGAGCTAAGACAGTCGTAAGTGCCATACATTAACATCTCGATACATCATGATGCTGACCGGTCACAAGTATGAGTCAAGCATGGAAACCTACCCTGGTTTCACGGATGACACAGATAAAATTCGAAGGTCCGCGATTATCGGCGACCAAATTGTCAGAACACTAAATACAGATACATAATTTGTCGATTTTTGAACGTAGACGTGTGTGTTTTCGCCATGTTGGATCAACGGATCAAGGGGTCAATGGGTCCAGAGATCAAGGGGTCAAGACCTTGAAGAAGGACTGTGTGAAGAGAAACAGCCATGAATGGGGTGTACTACAAAGCCGTCCCGCTCGGACATAACTGACAAATCACCAATGATCAGTCTGAAACATCGCCGATAAACCTAGACTTGAACTAATTCCGTCATACACTACAGTATTTATAAGAAGTCCATTTACACCACGTATATTTCAAACTGAGCTGCGATGTTTGTAGTCCTGGGCTGCTCATACATTTTAACATCACATGAGAAATGGACCAGATCTCGTAGGTGTGAAAAAATGTCAACAAATTCAGATTTTACGATGTATAGGATTTTGTCCTCTTTGCTTGATTCATTCTTCTTTGCGTTGCATACTTTTGCAACATTCTAGTGGGATATCATGAGTGAGACGAATATTAAATAAGTGTACTTCAAATCAGCTGCCATACACATATGCCTGAATTACTCGTACATTTCGGAATCACGGGGATTTCATTGGTCCGAGGAAATATATCAGGTAGGAAAACGGAAAAGCATCGATTGTACAATTCTGATTATGTCATTAGTATGTGTTTGTTTGACGCCACATTCAACAGTTTTACAGCCGTACGACCAAACAAGCTAGTGATTGACACCATGAAATACGATTACAGATCACCTGTTTATGAATCACTATGAAATAGTGATGACACCAGGTGTTCGCGAAAAGGTGAGCGTATCCTGCCCCACCGTTGGCACTCGTCTTAAACATATTACTTCGAGTCAACTGTTCACCGGGGAGAAAAGTCGGGAACGCACAGTATTTGTAAGTCAAAATAGGGATTGCATCGGACATCATTTTTGTCACTGATGCATGAAACTTTGCCCTCCACATGTCTACCACAACACTTTTGAAAGCTTTACTGATCGCTTGAATGTTGTAACCCTGCTCGAACAAGTTCTGAGCAAAGGTCGAATGACGTCTCTGAAATCTTGGTGAAAACGGCAGGCCGATTCAAAAGTTGTGAAATGTAAATACCAAAGCCTGGAGGTGTTGGAATATTGTTTGACATGAAAGGAATGATGACTATTGGAAAGTTGAATCATTTCTTACGCCATACGGATTTGTGGAGAGTTTTTTGTCAGTCTGAATCTTTATGCATAGATGTAAATATGAAACAGTTTAGGCGGTGTCACTTGTCTCCTTAATTTCAAGTTCAATTTGATGTTTATATAACGATATTAGATCGTCGATATAATTGAAGATCAAGTTAAACCTTGTTTCGATTTTACCAACCCGAGCAGAAATTCTGATTCATATGCATAGAGAAACGGGTCTGCAAGCTGGGGAGCACAGTTGGGATGCCTGTTTCGTGTCCAAATTTCAAAAACATGTTACCAATGAGGACGTCCAGCACGTCACACATTGTTTTCTCAGTAAACTCCATATGTCATTTGCTCTCATTTTTGACTAATTGTCTTGATCCTCAGAAGACAGATATGTAGGTATACTTCTGTTCACCCTATGAATGAAGGAATGCAGTTTGTCCTATAGTTTGTTTCCGTCTCATAGTAGTGTACAGAACTGAACTGAGATTGTGACAGAAAAACATTTTGAGAATCCATGTTGTATTAATTCCGCTTGTCTTAAACACTGTCTGTGATTATAGACAAGGTCCTTCCCTGATAATTTTAAGAATTATGGTTAATCTTTGAGACAGAGATTTGGTTTTACATGGTAAAAGCAGTTATTATATGCTGTTTCGATAAAGCGTCAAATTCCATTTTAACGCAAGTCAAATGAAAATTAACCAACATACCAGTGTCGTTAATGACGTGTCATCAAATACAATGGTGTCAACGTTTGAGCAAATTATTACATTTTATGATTCGACAGATACTACATATATAATGACACAACATTAATCAAATTTCACTTACAGAATCAGTTGAATGTGGAAATCTGAGGACTACATATGCCACATCGGGACCTCCTCCGGTAGTATTACCTTTCGTATATAGTAGGATTACATCGTGTATCATTATTTGTACAATACCGAAATGTTTACAGTTTCAATATTGATATGTGTGTTTAGATTTCACGAACATTTTCTGTTCTTGTCTGCCACAAATTCTCACCAAGTTATCAGGGTGCCGTTTTACAAAACAACCATAGCGCTACGACAGTCGTAAGTCTATGTTAAGGAATGGGAGTTACGATCACCTTAGCCCTAAGATCGCTTTGTACAACGGCACCCTGATGTACATTGACCTAGTCGTAAGCACAGACGAATATATATCCCTTTTTCATTTTGCTTCTGTAACTTCTCTGTCTTTCTACAGCTGTCATCCTTTTTGCAAGCTATATAACGTTATGTACCAGCATACAAATCAATTTCACATAAATTTATGTCGTTGGGGTATTAGGAAGTACTTCATTCTCTTTCATTTTTCGTAAAGCAGTCAAACACAAGAAAACCCTTGTACATAAATATTATCAGTGTATTATAAAAAGTGGGAAAAACCTACGTTAAAACGCATACGAAAACACACATTTGCTGTCTCGTAGTCAAAGCCGCTTTATTATTTGCAGCTCAATTAACACCATCAGAAAATAGAGATTTGGTATACTGCAACCCTAGGTACTTTAACAGTCGGAGACTGGCCCAGGGCTCTGCAACAGTATTTCTCAAGTTGTCATAGCCAACGTTCCAGTCAAGGCAAGAAACTATAAACACCAAGGTTAAAATTAGGGTTTGTTTGATAAACAGAGGATATAACAATGCAATAAAATGAAACATTTTAAAAGGAATAAACAAAATGTACGTACATGAGAGATTTCCCGTAGTGTTCGGCCTAAAACAACAAGTAAAACATTGTCGCAAATTGTTGCGTTAATGCGTTACGTTCACTGACATTCAGTGTCTTGGGTCTCACAAATTTCACTGTATCGGATAACATGAACCAGTATCTTCACATGATCTCACACGGGTGTATAGGTAAACTTGAACCCAGAATCCTTCATCTTGGCATTCCATATTTGATCAAATCTCTCGTTTTCTGCCACAGTGAACCAATTCTTCCAGTCTCCGATTTCACCTGAAACAGACAACGAATTATCAAGCGTACTGGCAGCAGGCATACGTTTGTCAACCAGCTATATGATGTACATGTACTACAATTACAGCGTGTGTTAAAGTACTGTCGTGTAGAACAAAACTGTTTTTTCACATTTTCATCTACAATTTAGGTAGTTAATATGTGAAAGTGTGAAATATCTGTTGAACTAAGTTCGGCCTAACTACAGTCTCAGAGGTAGGGAGATAGGAAACGTTAAAAAAGGACTTTACTGATGAGAGATTAGTACAGAAATAAGCAATGCGGGTTTTTTCAAAGTCCAAAGCGACTTTTTTGGAGCAGACCATGGCTTTATGCAAATAAGTGTGCGATGATATTGTAAAACAAATGACACTTTTTGAATGTACATTTTGAAATATGACTTTGCTTAATAATAAACGATAGCAGACGTATAAAAATAACAACTTTAAGACTGAAACAATTAAGGATATAGATACCATTGAGTCTCACTATCACTATAAAAAGAAACAGGAAGGAGGGGTCGTCTCAAAAGCAAAACCAAGACGGGGATAGAGATATTAGCTAAGATTAGATAATCAGTAGAGACATATTCAATAGACAGGAAAAAGCTTAAAAGATATTTGAGATGACCCCTTGTGCCTGTAGGCAGCACGTGCTTTTCATGCCAGGTGAGTCGACGGTCCGTCGTCATACCTGGCTGAGCGACCTTATTGCCATCTATAGTCTGATCTATTGTTTTCAGCAGCTGTTCGTGTTTTTTCTTAGTTTTGCCCGATTTTACGAGTAAACATGCTTTTCTGGATATCCTGTTACGCATCCCACTGAACGCCCAGTTAGACCGATGTGGGTTATTTCGACATAAGTTATTTGCAATTGTGTAAATATTAGGGATACAGAGTAACAACCTAAAACAGTTTTTGTCTATTTCCGACAGTACTTTAGTTTCTTCTGGAACACTGAATCTTGGATATCCAATACTACCACTTAACCATGATAACTTTGGCTGTAATATTGAAACATATTATTTTAGTGTGTTGGTAAAACCACCACCACTACCACTACTACTACACTACTACCACTACTACTACTACTACTATACTGTTACTATTGCTGCTGCTGCTACTACTAGTAGTACTACTGGAATGTGTGTTCTGATTTGACAAGTGGATATTGTATATGGGATGGTGGGATGTTTGTGACATGGTCGAGGTCGAGGTCGAGGTCGATGTACAGATGACACAGAACAATGACTGGGCGACCTTCCTGTGTTTTGCTTCATTAATCTGTTGACAGTCAGATATGTCAAGTACAACACACACAAAATGTGGACGTGTTCCAGTGTTTGACTCTTTGCCTTCGACAGTAAACGTGTCCCAGATTAACACGAGCATTTATCGTCTATTCTAATTTTTAAGCAGCAGTTTGGTGATCAATAACTACTTCCCTGAGTAAACGTTCAATGAAGTGGGCTGACAGTCACCCGATATCCTAGGGTCACGATCGAGTCAATCAGTGATATGAAGTAGGGATGAGGGATGGTACAAAAATGGTTTAGGTGAATTATGTAACACACATCATTTAGAAACAAACAGAAACAAAAGATGTTGTTTCAGTATCCAAAATAAAGTTATTGAAACATTGCAAACTTTTGTTTTGTCTTAGTCAGTGCACGTCCTTTCTGAAGTTGGACGATATCACGCCGGTTCTCCTGAAATACACGCCCAATATAACGCGCAAAAGCGTCCAAGTGCGTGCCAGTGGTGCTAGAATGGAGACGAAGCTATTCTATTCTGTATCATTTTCGGTCCTTTGTATGTAATTAAAGACAGGTAAATGGTCTAATTTGCTCTGTAGGAAAACCACTATTTAGAATATGTATATATGCGTCCCTACATAATCATGTACACCACTTACTTGATGAGGTGTTAGAATTTTCACCAAAACGTCGCATCTCATTTAAAAAAGAAAAAAACATATCTCATGCTTACTTGACCGGTAAATGGTTCATCTATTTTAAAGCCAAATATGAGACAGAACAGCTGAAATAGCCAATGTTTTCTGGATACATGGTCAGGGGAACGGTCATCACTCAAGATACTCAGAGCAGTGACCGTTGCTGAACTCATTGTGACCTGACCAAATGAAGGACCACGTGCCCCACCACAGTAAAACTAAGCATTGAAAAATGTTTACGAATCTACAAAATTAATTATCTACATCATGTCATGTATTGGACTTGAAGAACTTGCACACAAGCTTCCAGAATCTAACAAATGCATTGGTTTCTTTAATACTAGTCAACCTGTTCCCAGGGCCGAAGTGAGAAAGGTGTAATACCTTTCTGTAGAATGTCCCTTCTTTGCCATCTGCCCAGATCTTGATGGGAGCGTCACCTTTCATTTCCTGGTCAACCTTTTTCATCTTCTTAAAGGAACAAGCATCCGCAACCTCTTCACAGAACTGGTCCGTTGATGACAGGCCTAGGAAACCTGTTCTGGCGACGTCTTTCACAGTCTTGACAGGGTCCTGGAAATAGTGTTGTGAGACGGGCGTTCAATGCCTCGACAAATTTTGATTGCGTCGTTGCTTGACGGATCGATTGATAGATTGGTTTATTGACTGATTTATTGATTATTGATTTATTAATTTTCCTTTAGTTTACGGTACAATAATGGCCAGTGTGTAGGACAATATCATTTGTGTTCTTTTTGAGGCGACTGGGAAAACCATATGTTGATGAGTAGCGATACTCACAAATTTCATGTCCTCGTAGAACAAATCAAGGACAGGTAACTCTGGTGCAGCTGCCACTTCGGCTTTCCATGATAGCAGATAGGTGGAGTAGGACCCAAACGCCACTAGAAAGTAAAGAAGATAAAGTTGAAACAACGGCACATGTAGCTGAATCACTTTACACTTTATCTGCAAATGAATAGCATCGACCCAAAAAACGATTATCGTAATCCAGACTTGTGATAGTCGTAGTGCTGGGATCGTAACCTTTTGTGGACAGGCCATTGACGTGTTTGTAAATATAAGTTAGGCAGGAACCAGGTCATGTGCCAGGAGCCAGCCATGTGCCAGGAACCAGGCCATGTGCCAGGAGCCAGTCATGTGCCAGGAACCAGGCCATGTGCTAGGAACCAGGCCATGTGCCAGGAACCAGGTCATGTGCCAGGAGCCAGCCATGTGCCAGGAACCAGGCCATGAGCCAGGAACCAGGCCATCTGCCAGGAACCAGGTCATGTGCTAGGAGCCAGGTCATGTGCCAGGAGCCAGCCATGTGCCAGGAACCAGGCCATGTGCCAGGAACCAGGCCATGTGCCAGGAACCAGGTCATGTGCCAGGAACCAGGTCATGTGCCAGGAACCAGGTCATGTGTCAGGAACCAGGTCATGTGCCAGGAGCCAGCCATGTGCCAGGAGCCAGCCATGTGCCAGGAACCAGGCCATGTGCCAGGAACCAGGCCATGTGCCAGAGCCAATCATTTGCCAGGAACCAGGCCATGTGCCAGGAACCAGGCCATGTGCCAGGAACCAGGTCATGTGCCAGGAGCCAGCCATGTGCCAGGAACCAGGCCATGTGCCAGGAACCAGGCCATGTGCCAGGAGCCAGCCATGTGCCAGGAACCAGGCCATGTGCCAGGAACCAGGCCATGTGCAAGGAACCAGGTCCATGTGCCAGGAGCCAGCCATGTGCCAGGAACCAGGCCAAGTAGCAGGAACCAGGCCATGTGCCAGGAACCAGGTCATGTGCTAGGAGCCAGGTCATGTGCCAGGAACCAGCCATGTGCCAGGAACCAGGCCATGTGCCAGGAACCAGACCATGTGCTAGGAACCAGGTCATGTGCCAGGAACCAGGTCATGTGCCAGGAACCAGGCCATGTGCCAGGAACCAGGTCATGTGCCAGGAGCCAGCCATGTGCCAGGAGCCAGCCATGTGCCAGGAACCAGGCCATGTGCCAGGAGCCAGCCATGTGCCAGGAACCAGACCATGTGCCAGGAACCAGGCCATGTGCCAGGAGCCAGCCATGTGCCAGGAACCAGGCCATGTGCCAGGAGCCAGCCATGTGCCAGGAACCAGACCATGCCAGGGAACCAGGCCATGTGCCAGGAGCCAGCCATGTGCCAGGAACCAGACCATGTGCCAGGAACCAGGCCATGTGCCAGGAACAAGGTCATGTGCCAGGAACCAGCCATGTGCCAGGAACCAGGCCATGTGCCAGGAACAAGGTCATGTGCCAGGAGCCAGCCATGTGCCAGGAACCAGGCCATGTGTCAGGAACCAGGTCATGTGCCAGGAACCAGGCCATGTGCCAGGAACCAGGCCATGTGCCAGGAACCAGTACCAAAAGATCTGATGTTCTTTACTGACGTTGTGGCTTTGTTTAAATGAAATCATTTTAAAGGACATGGACGACTACCAAATACCAAGACGTTCCTCGTACTTCATTGTATTCACATAATAAAACCTTTTTTTTTTAAAATCCAGAATCAGTCGAAATCTGCATTAACATCAGCACGATTCCAACTGTCACGAGCTTGTGTTTATCAGTCAAAGTGACGACACCAGATGTTCGGGAACAGAGGTCCGACAACTACAATGCATTCGACCTGCAAATCCATATGTCAGCTCATTATCTTTGTGCAATCCTACCTAAGAATGAGACACTGCGCCGAGCAAAAGCCCTCAACGTTGGGCAGGAATGGGTTTATCATTGCTTCTGAGATTATTGCTCTAATGTACACACGCACATGGATGTGTCGTAGTTCTCACCAAGACACCGTTCACTGACTCCGAGAAGACTAGCCCATGTTGTATCACCTTAATGCCGAACGTCAGCCAGGGTGACAACAAATACCGATATTAACGGGGATTAATACCACAGATATGTTTCCTGGCAGACGCTTTATCCACTGAACCAATGAACCAATGGCCAACTTTGATGTAGTATTTTCTGACCGCTTCTTTGTGATTGGATTCCTCTCGCTTGAACCAGCCAAAGTAATTACTTCTGAATGTGACCATATATATTCCCAGTGATGAGTAAACTTCTTGAACAGGGTTTCTCACAATGATCAACTACTCGCTGTACTTACTTTTTTCTGACAAGAACGCCTCTGTAAACTCCACGAAGTCTCCTTCATAATCATAAGGTGGAGTCATGTCCCTGCAGTGGTTGAAGAAGGACACACAGGCATCTTTAGGGTTCCGCATGATCTGGAAACACTTGATCTTCTTCTCCACAACCTGTTTAGGGAGCATGCGCAGATGGAGGTGGGTGTTGAAGACACGTGGCTGTGGCACTGCTTCTATTCCATCTTTGGAGATTAATTCCAACATTCGGGTCTCTTTGACATCCTTTTGATACTTGATGGTACCACTCTTTAGCATCTCGATAACCTCCCACAACCAATGGGTTCCTAAAACAGACAAAATCAACACGAAGAGTAGCCTCAAATAGCAATAGAAATTAGTAGCGTGATATAGTGGAGACACTGTGTGATATAGTGGAGACACTGTGTGATATAGTGGAGTCACTGCGTGATATAGTGGAGACACTGTGTGATATAGTAGAGACACTGTGTGATATAGTAGAGACACTGCGTGATATAGTGGAGTCACTGTGTGATATAGTGGAGTCACTGTGTGATATAGTAGAGACACTGTGTGATATAGTAGAGACACTGCGTGATATAGTGGAGTCACTGCGTGATATAGTGGAGACACTGTGTGATATAGTAGAGACACTGTGTGATATAGTAGAGACACTGCGTGATATAGTGGAATCACTGCGTGATATAGTGGAGACACTGTGTGATATAGTAGAGACACTGTGTGATATAGTAGAGTCACTGTGTGATATAGTGGAATCACTGCGTGATATAGTGGAGACACTGTGTGATATAGTAGAGACACTGTGTGATATAGTAGAGACACTGCGTGATATAGTGGAGTCACTGTGTGATATAGTGGAGTCACTATGTGATATAGTAGAGACACTGTGTGACATAGTAGAGACACTGTGTGATATAGTGGAGTCACTGCGTGATATAGTGGAGTCACTGTGTGATATAGTAGAGACACTGTGTGATATAGTAGAGACACTGTGTGATATAGTGGAGTCACTGCGTGATATAGTGGAGTCACTGTGTGATATAGTAGAGACACTGTGTGATATAGTGGAGACACTGTGTGATATAGTGGAGTCACTGCGTGATATAGTGGAGACACTGTGTGATATAGTGGAGTCACTGTGTGATATAGTAGAGACACTGTGTGAGATAGTGGAGACACTGTGTGATATAGTGGAGACACTGCGTGATATAGTAGAGACACTGCGTGATATAGTGGAGACACTGCGTGATATAGTGGAGACACTGTGTGATATAGTGAAGTCGCTGTGTGATGTATAGGATAATGTGAGTGAGTCGCTGATATGACTGAGTTATAGCATAATGTGAGTGAGTTGCTGATATGACTGAGATATAGCATAATGTGAGTGAGTTGCTGATATGATTGAGATATAGCATAATGTGAGTGAGTTGCTGATATGACTGAGACATAGCATAATGTGAGTGAGTTGCTGATATGACTGAGATATAGCATAATGTGAGTGAGTCGCTGATATGACTGAGATATAGCATAATGTGAGTGAGTTGCTGATATGACTGAGATATAGCATATTGTGAGTGAGTTGCTGATATGACTGAGATATAGCATATTGTGAGTGAGTCGCTGATATGACTGAGATATAGCATATTGTGAGTGAGTCGCTGATATGACTGAGATATAGCATAATGTGAGTGAGTTGCTGATATGACTGAGATATGGCATAATGTGAGTGAGTTGCTGATATGACTGAGATATAGCATAATGTGAGTGAGTTGCTGATATGACTGAGATATAGCATAATGTGAGTGAGTTGCTGATATGACTGAGATATAGCATAATGTGAGTGAGTTGCTGATATGACTGAGTTATAGCATAATGTGAGTGAGTTGCTGATATGACTGAGATATAGCATAATGTGAGTGAGTTGCTGATATGATTGAGATATAGCATAATGTGAGTGAGTTGCTGATATGACTGAGACATAGCATAATGTGAGTGAGTTGCTGATATGACTGAGATATAGCATAATGTGAGTGAGTCGCTGATATGACTGAGATATAGCATAATGTGAGTGAGTTGCTGATATGACTGAGATATAGCATATTGTGAGTGAGTTGCTGATATGACTGAGATATAGCATATTGTGAGTGAGTCGCTGATATGACTGAGATATAGCATATTGTGAGTGAGTCGCTGATATGACTGAGATATAGCATAATGTGAGTGAGTTGCTGATATGACTGAGATATGGCATAATGTGAGTGAGTTGCTGATATGACTGAGATATAGCATAATGTGAGTGAGTTGCTGATATGACTGAGATATAGCATAATGTGAGTGAGTTGCTGATATGACTGAGATATAGCATATTGTGAGTGAGTTGCTGCTGAAGCAGTGTTAAGACTCCGGTTGGGACATGTCGTGTACCTACCACATTTGGGATATGCACATATAAAGATGTCATCGTCTTTCAATTCGGCTTCTTTGATACTCCTGAGGTGGTCTGCAGGCCGAACTCCCTTTAGCACAGAGGGATGCACTATGTACAAATACACCCCATCATGCTTGAAACAGTAGAATCCGTGGCCTTTCGAATTTCTCAGATCGGGTATCTCCCCATGGTCGGGATCCCTGGAAAATACCGAGATATCGGAAAATCGAGATATATTGGTATTGAGCTCGATAACAAGCACGCACGCACGCACGCATGCAAACACACGTACGTACGTACGCGCACACACACACATGCAAACATACATACATATATACATACATACATACATACATACATACATACATACATACATACATACATACATACATACATACATACATACATACATACATACATACATACATACATACATACATACATTTACTCACTCACTCTGGGCGGTGGGGTAGCTTTGTGGTTAAGGCGTTCGCTCGTCACGCCGAAGACCCGGGTTCGTTTCCCCACATGGGCACAATGTGTGAAGCCCATTTCTGGTGTCCCCCGCCATGATATTGCTGGAATATTGCAAAGAGCGGCGTAAAACGTAGGTCACTCCCTCACTCACTCAAATATTGCTGAGTGCTGCGTTCAACAACAACCAAACAAACGTACATCAAAGTCTGTTCTAGGATAGTTGTTGTTTGTCGGTGGCACACCCAATCCTTATTACGTACAGAATTCTTGCATAACGTATTGTCCAAATGAAAGTCGACACCAGAGACGACGTACAGATCACACCGACCCAGATCCTAAGGCAGCCTGAGACGACATACAGATCACACCGACCCAGATCCTAAGGCAGCCTGAGACGACATACAGATCACACCGACCCAGATGCTAAGGAAGCCTGAGACGACATACAGATCACACCGACCCAGAGGCGAAGGCATACTGACATATTGCTGATATTTACGTTGTATCAGGAAACATGTGGTAATGCAGTATATCTGAGGAAACAGTACTGAGAAACAGGTCGATAACATCAGGAAAGACTTACATTACGAACTTTTCATCGCTGTTATCTGACGACATGTTGGAGACCTATATCGGTGCACCAACTCGGAGATGACTGATATGCGCGAATCTAGGTCAGACAACCGCACAGCGGCATGTCACTTAAAGTTAATGTCATTTGTTTTATATATCACATGACTATATTGTTGCATTCTAGAAGTTGGTGAGTCAAAAATGAAGCATACAACCTTATGGATGACAACTACTTGTTGATTGCATAGCGCAACGTTTCGATGTAGATTCTTACACCGTTAAAAGCACTTGCTCATACTATAGCCGGAGTTGTACCATGGATACTGGTGTAAGTAGAGGTATATACATGTATATCTTATGGATAAGGAGTGGGTTTAGTCACAACGCAGCCCAGCTCTCCTATGTACTATTGCAGTCCTTCTGGGATATGATTGGCTGATCTCAAGCCCTTTGATAGACACAAACACAGTTTTTCTGATAAATTAAATTTGGTTTAAAGATGTTTGTTTGTTTGTTTGTTTTAAACATATTTTATTCATGAGAAAAGGATTGGGTACAAGTTATACAACTAAGAACACCCTCTCCCTAGTATTTACATAGTATTATTTACATTCATTCTACAAGATGGACAGAGAAGAACAGAACAGAAATATGGGAAAAAGAGGAACAATTGCAACAATTAAGAAAATCGTTTTGAATGACAAATATATGTTTGAACAATTTTAAATATGTTTTGATTTATGTGAACAGTCAGATCTGCATTGCCATGTAATAGTAACTCATAGGTTATATCCACATTTGTAATACTGCGTAAATTAGTCATCACGGTAGTTCTCTGTACTATATATAATTGACAGTCAAATAGGTAATGATAAGAATTTTCACAAACATTTCCACAAGAACAACTTGGGTTATCTCTTAAACCAGCACGGAATAGATCATAATTCAACTGACTACACATGTAACGTAGTTTTGTAAGGATGATGTTAGTGATTCTCGGTCCAGAATCAAAATATTGAGGAGCAGTTTTATGTTTTATAACAATATTCGATATAAAAGAATTCAGTGACTCGCTTTTTCTCACTTCAACTGGAAGTTCATTCCACATTCTAATTGTGGATGAAAAATAAGAATCATACGAAAATTTTAATCGCGAGAAAGGAAGTGAGACATCATCAGAGTTGCGAAGATTATAGCTACATTTAGATGCTACGTCCCCAGGAACAAGATCAATAAGGTACGATGGTGCCATATTATTCTGTATTTTGTAAAAAAGGCGAAGTTTACGCTTTCTCCTACGTTCTGCTAAAGATTCCCAACCAGTTTCATAATACAGATGTTCATGATGAGTATATTTAGGTAAACCCGTTACAATTCTTGCTGCTTCTAATTGCAGTTGTTCTAATTTATTTGCTTGATATTGAGCACATCCATCCCATACTTCACACGCATATTCAAAATGGGGTCTTATGAACATTACGTAAATTCTATTCAATACAGAGCGCGGTAATAAACATTTGAGTTTACGTAGAGAAGATATCATTTTTGAAGTTATTTTTACAATGTTATCAATATGGTCAGACCATTTACAATCTTTTGAAAATGTTAACCCCAAATGTTTATGATTATTAACTGTTTTGACACAAACCCCGTTAAAGTAGAGATTTAGTGCATCAACATTCTTTTGCAAGGAGAAAAAGATTGCCTCAGTTTTATCAGGATTGTATGTTATAAGCCACCGCTTTGCCCAAGCCCGCAGCCTTTCCAAGTTTGAATTCAAATCTCTTTCAATGAATAGACGATCATGAGAAGATGAGCCAAGAGACGAATCATCAGCAAATAATCGTGTCAAGCAGTTTAAATCATCAGCAATATCATTGACATAAACAAGAAATAAGAAAGGACCGAGGACTGACCCTTGAGGGACACCAGCTTGTAAATACCCCGGCTTGGATAGGGCTTTGTGAACGATTACTTATGTAATCTGCTAGCCAATTTAACAATGAACCATGAATTCCGTATTTTTTCTAATTTCAACAATAAACCTTTATGCCACACACGATCAAAAGCTTTAGAGACATCACAGAAAACCATACAATAGTGTTTTTTATCATCTAAAGCCGCACAGATTTGGTCATATATTTCAATTAATTGATGGACAGTTGAGTGACCAGACTGAAAACCTGATTGATACTTATACAATAATCGATTTGCATGAAAATAGTTGTACAGACGTTTAAACATCACTCTCTCAAACACCTTGCCCACACAACTGATCAAGGATATAGGCCGATAGTTAGAGGCCATTGAGGGATCACCCTTTTTAAATAGGGGCATTACATTTGCTGCTTTCCACACACTTGGATATATACTACTTTTTAATGACTGATTAAATAACATGCACAGTGGGATACTTATTGAATGTACAACATTTTTAAGAATCTTATGACTGATTCTGTCCGGACCAGAAGCTTTTTTTAAGATGTAAACATTTGATTATATCGGACACTTCATTTACATCAATTGTTACACTATCTAAAACAGAATCAGTGCGTTTGTCAAAGAATGGCATATCTGTGTTTTCTTCATCAATACTAGATATAGACTGAAAATACTGATTAAGTTTCTCTGTTTTCTGCATATCAGTGAATAACGTTGGGTTTTCATCTGCATCATTTTGTCTTAAAGACGGAATGCAAGTGACTGATCCTGAATCATTAATAAAAAACCGAAGTAATTTCCAATAGGAATTTTTATTACTAGAATACAGATCAAGTAAAAAATCGTTTGTGAGACTGGCATAAAATGAATCCTTTGCATAACATTTCATATTATTTACTTTATTTCTTTGTTTCTTATAAGCCAAAATATCTACTTGACGGTTTGTCTTTTGGGCCTTTTTTCTCATTATATTTCTTTTTCTACATTCTCTCCGAAGTTCTGAAGTAAACCAAGGTTTATCAGTTGGTCGAATGGTGACAGTTCTAGAAGGAATACACACAAATATAAAACGGTTGAGATGCTTATAAAACAGTGCACAGGTTTCATTAACATTCCTGCAACTACTAAATATGTTATACCAATTTGTCTCATTAATCATAGCATTGAGTTTCTCATAGTCACCTCTTTCATAACATAATACGTTTCTTTTGTAGGCTAACCTGGTATCTACATGAGCATCAACGGTGATATACGTACCTTTGTGGTCACTTATACTTTAACATAAATCTACAACACCACTGTCTAAAACATCAACATCTTCAGATATAATGATGGGATCAAGCAGTGTGCTCGTTGTTATTGTTACTCTCGTTGGGTTTTTAATAACATTTTTCAGATTTTTCCTGGCTATTAAATCATGCAGATACGTGTTATTATTCGACAAAAGGTTTGCATTTAGATCCCCAACAACGGTAATTTTACTCGAGATATCTAATGCAGTCTCAATGCTACTATCAAGCCGACTCCAGTATTCTAAACCTTGGTATTGTGGTCTGTAGATGACACATAACACAAGCGGCTTTTGTGGGATAAATACTTTAACCCATATAGATTCATCACAGTTGTTTTCAAGATGACATAATCTCGTAAAACAGAGAGCGTGATTGATATACATGATAACTCCACCACCGAAAGAATTTCTGTCTTTCCGTATGGGTTCATGAAAATTCACCCATTTGAGCGTATCAGTATCAACATCGGAATCTAAATGGGTTTCAGTTAGGCAAATAATGTCATATTCAGATAAATATTCAGACAGGTCTTTTAGTTTGTGGCGTAAACTTCTCACATTGAGATGGAAGATTGAAAGTGATTTGTCATAGTCTGCACGTGAAAATGGCCCTGGATTTAACTACGTCTCCCGCAAGCTGAATTAACAATAGCAGATGTAATACTACATTGATATTGACAACTTGCGACTGCCGCAGACAAAGAGTAACTAACACACAGCTTGATTTACATGAAATTGTTAAGATAGTATACATGCAGGAGAGCTCAGTGAGAAAATCTTCTCTGAACGATTTGCCACTCATGCTGAAAAAATAATGTTTTACATTCATACGCAGTTGATGGCAAAGTCGGACACAATTGAAGACACCGATCGCCACACGATGTTGCATAACATTACTACCCATTGTTTAGACAGACTGATACATAGAATATGGTTACAGTGTGACAGGCGGATCGGATGTCAACAATGGTGGATACATACATGCATAATTGTGACATATGACTGAACGGCAATGCAGATCTGAGGTTGTGCTTGGATACAATAATGGAATATGGATACTGAGGAGAAATAACAGATTTGGTACAAATAATGAGAAAGTTGAAAACAAGAAAGGTAAGGCTATATACAGTGATACATACACACAGAAAACATGATAACAGGATGTGTAACGGCTAAAATGTGGAATTCAAATTTCCTTACATTTTACATATTTACAATCCATGAATATCCTTGATTAGCACACATCACAAGAACACAACTAGAACACAGTTATCTCCTGTACTGATCGAGTTCCGACTCGTCGTGAATCACACGGGTACGTCCTTCGATCTGTTCGAGAATGTTCACACGTCCATCTCTTGTCCACGTTGACTCAGTTCGTCCCTGTTTCTTGAGTTCTCTGGCTAGCTTGTATAGGCGACTTCTGTGTCTAGTTAAGTCCTCATTGATGTACACATTACACCGTGTATCGCGAAGTTTCTTCCGGTTGGTGATCTCTTTGTTTCTGTCCTAGTAGTTCACAAACTTGATAATAATGTCCCTGTGCTTGTCCTTAGACTTCCTCCCTACACGGTGGCACCTGTCTATGTCTGAGGGAGATAGGGTCTGGTGTAGTCCTCTCAGTACATCCATGGCGATGTTCTCGGTGTCCCTGCCCTCCTCGTGTATGTCCTCCGGTAATCCGCTGATCCTGAGGGAATTCCTACGACTATATTGATCTAGTTCGTCCGTTTTCATCCTCAGTTCTGTCCTCAGTTCGTTGATCTCCTTCAGCATGGGTTCGATGTATTCCCTCAATACAGCCTCAACGACGTCCTTTGCCACTGTAAGAGCCAAAAGTGGGATTATACTAGCACTTCAGTCAGTAGCACCTGCCAAGAGCTCTTAACTCGTTCCCTGTGAGGAGCATGCTAACTTGTATTTAAGGGAAGTTACTCCTTGC